AATAAATAATGCAAGATTCACAAATCTAATAATGCTGACCTCTTCAAGTAATTTTCTGGAAGGATCAGATTCTGGGTACAGTTTAGCCCATCCTCTTGACCACAATTCATAAGCTTCGTCCTTCCATACCATAAAGCTTGCAGGGTCGACAACAGTGGGTTGAATGATCTCCTTTGCTGGGAAAACCCCCCAAGTGACTGCATTCACATCAAGATTTTTCATGTTCGATATCAAGTTTCCTTGTCTGTTCACTGCCATGTACGTGAGGAATGGGAATGCCGTGCACTTCTCCACTAGAGTATTCAGGCTCTCCAAAGAACAGAAAAACTCCAAGTATGCCTTCTGGTACACATATCCGCCAGGCCCACCCCATCCTGTCAAAACGAACTCCAAATCAGTACCTATCTCCTAACCGGAAACGGGTAGACTCACATCTTTGAGTAAAGCATTCTAATTTAATGTTTATATAACTTTGTTTATGCACAAATAGGCTAAAACATTGTTGAGCCAATTTCCAGGTCTAATAGGTGATGCTGATCTAAGAAATAAGATTTGCTGATTCACTCCATCTTCACAATACTGAAATTAAACTTCTCATCACAATCAAGTACCGTAAGGCGTAAACTAAGCACCCAAGATGAGAAAGTAAATAGATTGGTTTCAGTGAATGGATCGGTTATTTCAGCTGCTAAAAAAATATATGCTTATAATAACAATAAAACATAACAACTTCATTACCAAAAGATGGCGAGTCTGATTTCAGTCCATTCACAGCTGGTTGGCTGTTGATTGTAAGAAAACCTTTCAGGTTAATGTCAGCAAGTTGTTCGTTAATGATTTTGGTCTCTGGTTGAAGACCATCTAGTTCTGACCACGGGTTACTTCGCAATTTCCCAAGGCAGAACTTCATGAATTTCTGTTGTGTTGAAAACTTGGTTAAGGACTGGAATTTGTAAATATCAAGCTTTTTAATGAAAAACAAATTTGGACGAAAAGATGATAACCTCACTAATATCTTCCACATTTTTCAAAGGTGTGGCCCATTCTTCACCAATTTTCTTATCACGCGCACGAGGTCGTATAAACTGCAAGGAAGAAGAGTCATTGTAATTCAATAAAATACTGCCTCGCAGAAAAAATTAAAAAAGCAAAAACAAGATGAAAAGGAATAAATACAATGTTCGTAAAAACTACGAAAATGAACTATGTTTGGAGATTCAATAGCTATCAAAGTTAAGGGACAAAGCATTGAGATGGGGAGAAAACAGAACAAGCGCTTCACATGAAAGAGAATGACTTATATGCAACGAAAGAAACACATGGAACAGTCTGTACAATTCAAGTTTCTCATATAGTAAAAAGGCTTTTTCCATTATAATAGCTCACTTATCCATTTTGTGGCATGCCAAAGTTTTCACCTCCACTGCTGGTGTTGTACAAACCAAATGCACAGCTGAGATTCAGCTGATCAACGGCATTGTAGTTCTTATAGAGTCGGGTCGTTATCCTTTCATTTGTATGTTGCCACATATCTTATTGTGTTGTGGGCTTAACCTCTAACTTAGCAGTAATAGTATAAATTGAAGGGATTAACCTTGCACCTTGCACTAGGGGCAGATTACACCACTCTCCAGTGCTCCAATATTTCACATTATATTCATTTACGTAGAAATAACCAATTTTATTGGTTATCGTTACCTATGATATGTTTGTCGAATTGGTAAAAAAATCATTCAACAAAAATCAAAAGGGGGCAACAAGATAGTGCATACCTGATAATCGCTCAGTGCTCCAAATGATGGATTCTGATAATCACCCCATCTGCCAGTTGGGAATTGGTCCCAACCTATAGTTCTTGATATGTAACTTTTTGGACGATTAGCCCTAACATCATTAGTCTTAAGCCATCAGGTTTTGATAAAATTGGTAGCTATTACCTTACAATTCGGAAAAGGAAATCCAATTATAACTTCATCACGAAATGCTTACCAGAATATTGGGCGGACATTTTCTTTTACACGGAAAACATTTGCTGGACGTCTCCAAGGCAAGGGTCTCGAAATTTTGGACTCCTCGATCAACCCAAGATTCTGCAAATGGAAGGCCACATAACCCCTCATGTGTGTGTTTCACCAATTAACGTCAAAGGTATTCTAGAAATGTATATAGCTATGTATTTTTAAAACTAATATGAGAGGCAAACCAACCATCAATATAGCCAAAGCTGATTTCTCCATGTTTAATGTATAAAGATGTAATGTTCTGATCCCAGAGGCCAAAATCTTCTTGCACATTTCAGTCCCCAAATGAATACCATAAGCCCTGATGGCTTCTTCATTGTCCTTGATCGGTTCTAAGGCAGCCATAATTTCAGGTGGAATCTATCGTACATCACACAGTATTGTATAAGCAATTGGAATAAACAGAAATTTTTGAAGAGATCATAATTAGTTACTGATGATGCCAATCCCCCTAACGGGAAGAGAATGAATTTATACAAAAGCCGAGACTTTGTTCCATAAGTCAGATAATAAAAGATGCCCGGCAACCCTGAGCTTGATCAGAATACATATGATGAAAGATTGAAAGTAGAAGCCCTTATATTCAAGTTTCCATGATTTATATATATATATATATGCGTGTGTGCGCGCACGCGCACTCACGAACATTCTATATCTCATTACGGGTGCAACTTGTCTAGGCAATAAAACATCTTAGCAGCAAGGTGGAAGGACCTGTCATGACTTTCTTTAAGAGATACATTTCACAATCTCCTTGGGAACTTTCCTCTCCACACCCCTGGTGCACTACGAAAACATCCAAATGCACTTTTTGTTCCAGAAAGTCTAATAAGTGCAACTCTTCAAAAAATAATTTCACACCATATTTGCATACTTGAACGAGCTATTTTTCCTTTTATATGCAATTGATTAGAAACAACTTACTAGAATAAATGCATATTATCGATCGTATAGGAAGAAATTTTTCCATAGATGAGGGTCATACAGCAGTCTGGACAAAAATGAAATTAAAAAAAAAAAATCTTAAATACTTGCTTAAACCTTAGTTTTACAGAAACCAATCATGCGGAGGAAGCCCTTGTAGTTATTAATGGGCATGATACCCGGTACTATAGGACAAGTTATTCCAATTTGACGACAGTCATTGACAAATCTGAGGAAGATGTCAGTGTCGTAGAATAGTTGTGTGACGATGACTTCAGCTCCAGCATCAACCTGCGACGATAACAAGAGCAGTGGCATAATACCGTAACCAGAAATTTACACAACGTTAGTCACAAAATCAAAAGCATTTTCAATAAAGGTCTAGTAAACAATTTTATCTTCATCCTTGAGGGAATAAGATAACCTTTTGCTTAAGGTAGGCAAGTTCATTCTGATAGGCCTCTGGTGGTACAACTCCGTCCTGAATAACATCAGGATGCCCCTCTAAATAAAAGAAGAAAGAGTTTCTATTAAGAAATAATCCACGCAGGATGGTCAACACATGGAAGAACCCCCATATCTGTTACACATTGTTAACTACACGATACAAATGTAATCCCACCAGGTTTTGATGTTACTAATGGGAAATTTATTACAGCCACAGCATAACAATGAAGTCTGAAGTTTCAATAGGATATACCTCGCATCATTTTCATTTTCTTTTCACCAAAACTTAGGACTGGCCGACGAAATTTTTTGAGTGTGAATATTATATAATGAACATGTGTGTTTAAAACTAAAGCTGATATGATATTGAAAATGACATGATATGATTGGAAAGTAAATACAAATTATACTTGAAAATAAGATGCATGTAGAAAACAATGTAAACTCCACATTATATCAAACCGTAACAATAGAACTCGACTCCCTTTCTTTCGGCTAAGATTTCAGCCACATTCTTCATGCCAGATGTTTTTACAGTGTATGGAACATTAGTTTATACACCCATCTACTCTTGATGTGCATATGCGAAAAACTACGATACAATCATACAAAAATGAAACCTACCGTGCATTTAACTGAAAATCCGATGTCTCCAAATATTGACAAAATTAAAGTGAGAGTGGGTACACTACAATAAAAAGAAAAAATATATATATATATATAAGCACCTGGATAACCAGCAACAGTTATCCCAAAATAGTCTCCATATTTGGCACGAATATGCTTAACCTGCAAAAACAAACACACAATTTTCACTCAAAAAAAAAAAAAGCAGATCAGAGAAAAACTGAAATCTCGAATTTAATCCAACACTCACGAGGTCGAGGGCGCAACCGAAGCCTCCGTCCACCTGAACGAACTTGTCCTGGCCGTGGGGAGGGTCGCCGCGCAGGGCGAGGACGTTCTGAATGCCGTTGGACTTGATGGTGGCGAGGGCGTGGTCAATCTTGTCGATGGGCATGTTCGTGCAGGTGAGATGCATCATGGTCTCGACGCAGACCATGTTCTGCATCCGGTTGGCGATCTCCAGGGTCAGATCGGCGGTGGTTCCGCCGGCGCCCCAGGTGATGTCGCAGAAGGTGGGCCCGCAGGCGGCCATGCGGTCCATCCGCTCGAACAGGTTGTCGACGCCGTCCTCCGTCTTGGGTGGGAAGAACTCGAACGAGAAGACGGCATTGCCGGCGGAGGCCTCGCGGATCTTGTCTATTACCTTCATTCTTCGGGAGGAATAATTTTGGGAATTGGATTGAGCTGTCTGTATGCGGATTGCGGAGGAATGTGACGGTTTTGAATTTCCCGAAATTTGGGAGGAAGAAAAAGAAGCTTTACATAAAACGCGGGAATAAAAGTAGGGGAAATGCTACAATCTGTTAATCGTTGGATCATATATCTTATTTAACTACACGTGGATTTAAACGGTTAAAACATCAGACGAGATGTTACCGTAACGAGACCGACAGACCGTAGTATTTCTCTAAAGTTAGAAATGACAACATATACTTCACGTTAACATCAACCCGAAACGCTTGGCAGGCCTTGTTTGCTACTTGCCTACTTGGACACCCTGTGTACTGAAGCATTTCGATTATGATTTTTTTTTTTTCTTGTATATATATTTTTTCTTAAAAAAATGTCTTTTATAGTTGGATTTTGATCCGCGAAAATCAAAGATATCACTTTATTAATATGTATGTGAACAAAATGATATGTTATTATAACTTTTAATAATATAATATTATTCTCGTGTATCTAATCACGTTCTATATATTTCTTAGCTACACGTGGCTCATGCGATAAAGATAAAAATAATATTATAATTCTATTATATATTAAATATGTAAATAACATAAATCATTATTTACCCATTATTTTTTAAATTGGATTGAACAGTCCGACCGGGTAGACCAATCAAATGCGCTTGAATAAAGCATGAGTTAGTAAAACGATCAACACCGGTTGATCGAACAGGAAGGATTGGTCTGATTTTGTAAATAATTTTTTTTATTTAAAATTATTTTAATATAAATAAAAATATGTATTTAAATGAATTAGAGATTTATAGATTATTTATCAATTAGTTCAAACATTAGAATAATTTGAATTTTTTAGATATTTAATTAATTTTTATATATATTACTATAAAAAAAATAGTATGCATATATATATATATATATATATATATATATATATATATTAAA